AAAATGATTCATATCTAAGTAGGTAAGAAGCTAAGCCGATTTGAGGATTATAATTCTAAATAGAGTGCTAAGTGGCAGGTATAGATCTTATTAGTATTTAATCACATTCAAAACAAAATTTCTGCAACCCATTTTGAACTGATTAATAACTCATCTAAAATTTCTGCTTCATAATAAAATAATTCATTTCTAAGTAGGTAAGAATTTAATCCCACTTGGGATTGAATAATTCTAAGTAGAGACCTTGGTGCTAAGCAGATGGTGCAGGTCTGATTAGTATTTAATCACATGCAGTGATGAGTGTCAGTTTCAGTGATCTGATTGCTAGAAATAAATTAACCCACCAAAGATCATAACACAGTGATAAGCTACTCCTCTTGCTAGCTTTGGAATTTGTTAAGGAGATCAGAATTTGATTAGTACAAGTTCAGAATAAACAATTTCTGATCATTAATTGCCAGTCATTAATGACAGATTAACTAGTACTAATCTTGCATCCGTGGACATCCAAGAACCACCAAAACTGATATGGAGCAACAGTGGACGGACCTGGATTTCTCAACAAAGAAACAATAACTTGTCTCTGTGGGGTTGGACCCACACAAAATAAGGCATGTGATGAGCAATAGTGGGTGTAGATGGGTTTGAAAAATGTGTATTTCAAGTTAAAGACCAAGAAAAATGGTGTAGTGTATAACACGATAGCATACTGCATGTGAGTGGGTCTAAGTCTCTTTCAATATAAAAACTAAAAAAAATACAAAACACTAGGAAATAAGACATGAAACTGTAACGTGGAGGATTAATTTGGTTTCTTTATACAGCAAAAAGGGTTTATGTTAGGGGATGAAGGGCCTTGCGAAACAAGCAATTGGGATATTCAAATACTATTTGGGGCACCTTTTGGCATTAATTGTGAGGAAATCTATAAGATTTATAGTAAAGATTTTTTTGGGGTATTTGATTTAGTAAAGATAGGGTTCTATTTTACATGTCTAGGCTAGCCACGTGTTCAACTTTCTTTCTTCAATCTTTCCTCTAATCTCCTCATCTTCTTATATATAACCACCAAGCAGATTAGCAATAGCTAAGTGGGAAGTGGATTCAGAGTCCATCTCTCTTTGTTCATAGAAACATAGTCATTTATGTGTGTGAATGAGAGAGAGAGGCATGGACCATTAACATTCCAACACTGGATGAAGACAGCTAAGGTTTAAGTTTTAAGGTGAGTAATCTCATTCAATTCTTGAGTTTGAGCATGAAAATTATCTTTGTATAACTTTTGTCCTTGTCAAATTAGTTGTTTGAATGGATTAAATGGTTTGATTGATGATATTTTTTTATGTCTTTTTATAGTCGGAATCTATTGATGTGGAGAGGATTTGATGTTTAACACCTTTTTGGTTCAGGCTTTAATGTCCTTCAGCTGAAAATCTTAATATATAAAGTCCATGCTGCATGATAATTACACATCCACCAATAGGAGTTGAGTGAGGAGATTAATCCTAATAAACCCTAGAGTGTTTTGATTACTTAAAATGAATCTGAATCTCTACCTTCCTCTCTTTTCTCAGTGATGACTGATGAGCTACAAGTTTGACCACGTGGAGTAGAGAGTTGAGACACCCAGATGGAATGTTGACCCCTTAGGGCTGGCCAGTCACATGGGTATTAATACCACAGATAGTCAAGAAATTACAACATTGAATCACTTTTGAATAAAGCTTAAAAACAAAGATATTAGTTATTACATTACCCTACGAAATGATCTTTTTATTTAATGCATGGATGGAGAGAGAGAGAGAGGCAAGAAGCATCCATTGAAGCTACTACTCTTGTTTATTTTTAGCTCTGAAAGATTTTCCATTAGTAGCCTGCAATAAATCAGGTACTACCAGTAACCACCATATTTATGATATATAAGAAGTAATGGGACTATTGAATGTTTTTTCCAAGCTTTTAAACAATGTTAGGCCTCGACTGAACATGGACAGCTAGGGTTGCGTATCATCAGAGGCTAAGTGGTCCAATCATCCGGTTCAACCGGTACTTTACAATAGGAAATTACATATAGAAAAGGAGAAAAGCATTTGTGCACTTAAAGATTGTTTCAGAATGTTTTGAAAGTTTTATCCAAGCAGTTTTATGGGCCCAGTTGTCCAAATAATGGTATTGTCCTATGTGGTCCAGATCTGACAGTGTTGCTCCTCAACTTGCCACTTGATCAACTGTACCTTGGGCTGAACATTGATCCAACCCAGTTCTTTTTTTTGGGCCCAATGGTCCAGAATTGGCTACATGTACAAGGCATTTTGGAAAAAAAAAAAACAGTGGTTTTTTGCTTCAATCGATTTAGGGCCTCATACTTTTTTTTTTCATCTGGGGCTGTTGGGAAATGGCTGAAATTGCTAAACTGTAAATGACTTTTTTGTTCTTCTTACAAAAAAAAAATTACATTTTTGTTCTGGCCACATGAAATAGTCATATAGTAAAAATATTAAGGTATATAACCGAATGACTTGTGCACTTTAAGACAAATAGCCCCAACACATGGCAGCTTCATACTCTAATCACTTTCTAAGTGTCCCTCCATCTGTTTGATAAAATGAGTCTTCGATGTTTATCACTTCATAATTCCGCCACTCTTCCATCTTTTTGCTTTGCCATCCTCGCCACATGGGCTCCAAACGGACGTGGAACAAATGGGCGAGCTAGGCGAGTTGGGGGTTTTGATTAAAAACCCAGAGACGCGCAACTCCAACTTGCTAAGCAAGTGGAATTGCTCGACGTGTCTCATTTTACAGCTCTCTCCCACATACTTTATCTACCAACTCCTTCACGTAGAATTCATATTATCTTACTACTAAATGCAGCATCTGTCTTATACAAAATGGTATATAGTACAGGTGTATATATGCTTGTTTGGCTACAATATTATTTATATAGTATAATAATGTAGTTAGCTGTGGGCTGAGCAAGGCCGGAGCAAACGGGGCTCGACTCCCACCACACGAGAATTCCCATCTCCAAGAAACAAGGGGAGACGGCTGGGCTACTGCACCAAAATCCATCCTCGTGTGATAATTCATACAAAGGTTATTATAATGATCTTGATTATTATACTAATTCTGAGTTCTGACTCTAATTCTAACAAAACTTTTTAAGGGGTTTTCCCAAAGATGCTTACGTAGCCAGTAACGCCCTCATGTGTGGGTCAATGGTTGCTTTGATTTCCTTCTTTGTTTCCTCGAGACTCCAATTGGGCACTCAAAAATAAAAATGAAAAATGCACTGACCTCAAAAGGAGAACTCTGTTTTTAATTCTTTGGTTGTTTGGTTAGGTTAATTTGTCTCTTAGAAGTTAGAACCTTCTACTAACTTTAGTCTTTATTTTAACCAAACTGTGTCATAGTGGGTGCTCTCAGCATCTATGGGGTGCTTTTTCTCTCGACCCCACATTTGTACCTGTGAGCCTGAGGATAGTCCAAACCTCAAACCCAACCATTAAATGAAATCTATCCAACAGATGGCTCGAACCAAAATCAACATGAAATGAAATGAAAATGATTCCAAGGAAGCTCCAAATGCAATCCGCAGATTGAATGGTCGGACTTTATAATGTCCAATCATGTCCAACTTTTTGCTTGTGCAATTGATGATTGCTTTTTGGGTTTGGGTTTTTGTGCCCAAAGCAATGTCGAGCTGGAGATATGCAGCTCACCAGTCACCGCTCACATGGTGGAGAGCTCAGACCTCTCTCACTTTGTTCACTTTCTCCCTCTGTATACAAACAGGTCTTTACTCCTCCTACTCAAACCCATTGCTTTAGCCTTGTACATATATACAACGGCTGTGTAATTACTAAAATACACTCATGACTCACCAATCCCATACAAAAAGACCCCAATACCCATCAGATTTCTTCTGTCATTCTCTTTTTCCAAGGGATCCATGGAGGGTTAGTTTTGTCAATACACATGGGAGGAGAGCAATATAACAGGAATACTTTTCCTTAATTTGTCATTGGGTTGGGCCAAGTGACAGCCCAATCAAGTTTGGTTGGCATTTCTGATTTCCATCAGGAGATATGTTAAGGCTGCTGCCTCTACCAGCCAGTTGGTCATTGTAACCATTATAGGCACCACAAATCTAGAACATGCTGTGGAGCCCGATGAATTATCATTGTTTTTTAGTATATCAGGCCCCACCAAAATATTCCCCAATAATGGTGAATGGGGCAACTCTAGAACCTATGGGTTGACCAAGTTAGTGGCCCTAGCCTTCCTCTCCATCTTATTAACTCATCACTAAATATTACTTAAATAATTTATTTCTTCTAATTTTCTCTAATTAGTAATTTTATATTTCCTAAATTGTCCACTGACTGTCTTCTAATTTCAGAAACTTTGGATTGAATAATCGGTTTCTAGTCTACTTTATCAACAGTGCATTATGGATATATTGCCCCTCATTAGTGTGTGTTCGAGTGTGTTATGTGTACCTTATTCCAGTGTCCTTCTATGGACTATGACACCTAAACCGTCGGTTTGCCATCGTTTCCCATAAAACTAATCGGACGGTTAAAACGAATACAAGGTGCACGCTAGCCTATGCGAGTAGTAGTGTACGTCGTTAGAAAGGAAACCCGTGATGAGGTTTCTTTTGGGAGTGGACTTACAAAGGGCGTACTCAGCTGTATTTTGGCCGTCAAGGAAGAGAAGTGGATTCCGATCTCACGGTGTCCAGCTCGTGCGTTTCAGAGCGCTATCGTAGGCATGATAAAAATAAAAATAAAAAATACACTACGGTCGGCCGTAACTGTACTTGACTATGATCAATCTTATCGTCTCACATCGGTTGTTCTTTCACTCACCAACAGCTCACGCCTCATGCCGATCCGTACACACGCAACCACCCGGAGCTGGAATCCGCCCCACGACCCACCAACCCGTACGACTGAGCTGCTGCTCATTATAGAGCAGCGCAGGGATGCTACTCACTACTACTACTACTGCTTGCTTCTGCAACGTCAAGCAGAGACACGACACCCTCTCTGGCTCTCTCTCTCTCGCCCCCAATCTCCGATACACACGTTATTCGAAGAAGAACCTCAAAAATCCTCTTTCTCTCTCTCCCTTTATATCTCGCTCTGTGTTCGTTTTCGAGAAACCAGAGACATAAGCTCTAAATTTAGAAATGAATCGAAGATGACAAGTACGACTCTAGTAGCCGGGAAATCCATTCGTGGGGGAAGGTCAAGTTTTTTTCATCGAAATCTCTCTCTCTCTCTGGCAAGAGTTTTTGAATGCCTCGCTTTGTTTCTCTTCGTGGTAATGTGCAATTCGATGATCCAAGATTCTGCCTTATTTTCCCTTTTTCTGGTTGGTTTTTTGGAATGCTCAACGACCCAGTTCTGAAAAACCCAGACTGAAATTCCTGAATTTGTTTTTATCTTGCTCCTTGTGACTGGAAAAAAGGCGAGAGCTTGAATTGGTTTTAAGAGTGTCTGTGAACTGTGATCAAGTGGAAGCGTCACGAGTTGGAATGATTTCTTTAATGGTGGAAAAAAAAGGCTAGGAATTACGATTCCATTGTTGTCGTGAGTGGAGCTTTTAGATATTGTCCTTGAAGGAGAACCCAATGCTTAACGGCATTAAGATGGGAATCTTTTTCTTTTCCCCTTCCTTGCTGTTTGATTGACCACAACGGAATCCCGAATAACCGGAGACCTGCGGACCACAACCAGACTTCAATCACGGCCTTTAATGGCGAAATTCAGCAGAAAATGTGAAACCCTAGGATTCAGCTAGGAACGGAAGATGGGTACCACAGGCCAGAGGGACGAGGGAAGACAGAGAAAGAGGGAGAATTGCCCTTCCGGCCTTCGTCAGAGTGTGGCAACTGACATCTGTCGGTCTCCCACGGCCTAATGCAACCGGATCTAAGCCCTGTAACGAGCGATCGCTTTCACTAGGTAGCCTTACTAGACTCCACCAGGGCTAAACCTACGCACCCCAACCCAACCCACCTCCCTCTCTTTGCTTCACAGCCTGTCTGTTAGGTTTTATCGTCTGAATTTCGGAGAGCTCCATTAATGCTGTAGGCAAAGTTGGGGCGGGAGCTTATTAGTTATTATTGCTTTGCGTCTTAAAAAGCGAATCACCAAAATATATAAAATTATTTATACAGTACTGCTAATCATAATTTTTTTATTAAAAGATTAATCTTTCTTTCTTATACAACAAAAAAGTTAGGTAGTTTGGTTTGACATTTTGTAGTTATTAGTTGACACTTAAGATCTCTTCATTTGGGTTTGCTTGAATTTGGTGTTTTAAATCGTTTTTACAAAAAAAAAAACTTATAGAGTTCCATCTTTTTTGCTTTTTATGGATCGAAGGAAAGCGAGCGCTTCAGAGAGAGGTGGGTGGGATTTTGCAGAGGAAGAAGAGTTGCAGAGAATAGTGTCTTGTTTCCTGGGTCGCGCCGCTCGTGTTTGTCGCTCGTGCGCTGCAATCTTCAATTTCAGAGATCTCGAGGCCTTCGTTACGGTTTCTGTTTATAAGAGGTGTGTGTTCGAGCAGGTTTATTTCGTGGTCGTTCGTCTTTCCCTTCTTCATTTCCTGTTTCTCCTCCCGACCTTTTTTTTTTATCTCAGTTCAAACGAAATCCCTCCTCGGTTGGGATTTGGTACAGGGAATTTGGGTTTATTTTTCTGTTCCATTGAAATCGTGAATTTGACCTGGAGAATAATTGCAGGAGTCACGGTAACGTCGGTGATGATGTTGAATGGTTGCATTGCTTTACATGGAAATCGAGGTATTATATTTGCATATTCAAGCTTTGGTCTTTGTTTCTCTATTTGATTATTAGGTGCATTTCCGGGTTTTCGCTTTTCGATTACAACTGGGGATGAATGTGGGGTTATCCATTGGAGCCTTTTAGGAATATGAAATTTGCGTTCTTTTTCGGGTCTTCTGGGGCTGGTACCTTGTACCCAACCAGTCTTTTTCTGAAACTGCTAGTAATTGTTACAGTCTGTGGATCACTTGGAACGGTGGCTTCGAGCGGGAGACTCGCTCCCTGAATTAGGGTTCTGGACTGTTTGTTGTGAGTATTTAAACGGTTGCCATTCTTCGGCAGATGGAGAAGGTGTTGTGGGGTTTGGGAAGCGGATTTTGATGTGGAATTTTGGTTTCATCTGGATTGAAAAACATGCTGAGTCATGATGAGGAGGTAGAAGAAGAAGAACAAGAAGAGGAAGAGGAAGAACAAGAAGAGAAAGAGGTTTTCTACGACTCTGTGGATTGTATTACAAGCCTTGATTCTGTGCCCTCTAAAATTTCTGTAAGTTCGTATGCAGAGTCGGTCTTCACCAAATCAGAGTACGCAGTTTGGATGAACGAGCCAGTGAGCATTCGGGAACGTCGGGTGAAGTTTCTATGCGGAATGGGGTTCAGTGAATTTGCTTCTTCGCAAGTTGGTTGCTCTCAGGAAATTGACGGGGATATTCCGTGTGGCAGCTCACCGGAGCATCTGAATTTGGAAAGGATCACAGAATGCAGTGGGGCTGTTCCAAGTTCTTGGGCTTCGTTTGGTAATGGGGTACAGGAAGAAAATGTTTGTAATATAAGTGATGTAACAGATGTAGAAGCAGAGTTTGTAGTTCGTGAAGTTGAGCAAGATGGATCAAGATCAACCTCAGCTCAAGAGTTGGAGACATCTACTGGCCTTTTGCCTGTTGTTGATGATCTTATACGGGAGGAGGTTATGGTTGATAAAGAAAACAGCAAACATGGTCTGCACAAATGTAAGAGGAAAATAAAGAGTTGGTGGAAAAGCTTTATAACTAAGAGGAAGGGAAGGGAAATGAGTAACTCTGGTGTCTCCCTGACAGATCCCAAGTCACCCAAGGCAAATAGAATGACAGTGCGGCAGAACGGGAAGAGGATCATGGAGTTCAGTGGGGTTTACTTGGGACAAGAAATTCAAGCTCACAAAGGGTTCATCTGGACGATGAAATTCAGTCCAGATGGCCAGTATCTAGCAAGTGGTGGTGAAGATGGGGTTGTTCGCATTTGGCATGTTACATCAGGAGAAGCTTCCTGCAAATGTTTAGCTGCAGAAGGTACTTCCAAATTTGTCAGCAAAGAAAATGAAGGCAAGTTATTGCGAGGAAGAAAGAATTCGAACCCTGCTTTTGTTGTCATACCCAAGAAAGTCTTCAAGATTGAAGAATTGCCACTGCAAGAGTTTCATGGCCATACCAGCGATATCTTGGATTTGTCATGGTCCAAATCTAATGTAAGTTTGTCAACCGGCTTGAAAGCAGTGGCTAGTATTTATTATTTAAATATTTCACTATTTGATTTAAACTTGTCTCTCTTTTGCTTTTCTCCAAATTTGTTTTGTATGTAGCCTGTGATTTATTCACTTTTAAAGTGATATTACATTTTCTGGCGCAGTTCCTTCTTTCATCTTCCAAGGACAAAACTGTTCGTCTATGGAAAGTTGGCTGTAATGAATGTCTTAATATTTTCCACCACAGTAACTATGGTAAAGTACTATGCTTCTATATTTGTTTCTTAATGCTTTCTTCTTCATTTCTTGATCTGTTTCATGGTTTGTCTGCTATTTTCAAAAATTTGATTTAATTTTTCTTTACATTGTATCAGTGACATGCATACAATTCAATCCCGTCAATGATGGATACTTCATTAGTGGATCTATAGATGGAAAAGTACGGATTTGGGGTGTTTCTGATGGACGAGTTGTTGATTGGGCTGATATGCGAGATATAGTAACTGCCATATGTTACCAACCAGATGGACAGGTTTTCTTCTAACTACTTGATCCATCTATGATTTCCCTACTTAGCTGTTACAATTGAGATCTAAATAATCTTCAAAAACACACTTCTTCATGATGGTAACTAACTCATTCTTTCATCCAAGCAGGGATTCATTGTTGGTTCTATTACAGGCACATGTCGTTTTTATGATGCATCAGGTATGTGATTTTGTCATGTTTTGAGTTGGGTGATTTTAACAGTTTAAGCATAGAACATGGATTGTTTAGTTGTTCCCTTTGAAGAGTACCTAATCTATTTCTTGCCATGGTATAGATAATCATCTTGAGTTGAATGCACAAATCTGCATACAGGGTAGAAAGAAGTCTTCTAGCAACAGGATCACTGGCATTCAGGTTAGATTTTTGTAGCCTTCACCTTTATGATACCTTTCTATCTTTGATCGTTTTAGTGCTATTCTCGAGAAATTGTCTTATTTTTTCTCTTGTCATCACAGTTTTCCAGGGATGGTTTTCAAAGACTTATGATAACATCAGCAGACTCCAGAGTCCGCATATTTGATGGGGTTGAAGTCATTCATAAATACAAAGGTAAACATGCTTGTTGATTATTCCTTATCTTTCTGAGTAGTGTTTCTTTGCTATCGGATGGATTTTAGTCTTCTTATGAAGCTATTGACTCTAAAGCACGAGAATCTTGTGATAGTTTGATTACCATTCATGAACTATGAAATTGCAAATGTAGGATTTTACCAAAAGTGTGCATTTTCAGTTTCCCCGTTTTATATAGATCTTCCTCGCATTAATTGCAAAGAATGGCTATTATGTGGCTTTAATAAAGATACTCCTAATAAATATAATATTTATGCAAACCCAGAAGAAAACTGGTGGTTACTGTTGTATTATAGCAAACCCACATGAGGCAAAAAATTAAAAAACAAAAACAAAAAACAGGGGAAGCATCACCATAGTAGCAAGCTACTAATAAATGGATATTGTATTTAAATATATTATTGTCTGTGGATCTACATATTCATCCCAGTTTCCTCTGCCTTTTTTTTTTACTTTGTTGCCTTTGTGGTATTTTCTATTTGTTCAGCCTGTGTTTAGTAGTTTATAAACTGGCTGCATTTGCCTATTACAGATCTTCTAGTTTTTGAATGTTTATTCTCTGTTTTGTTCACTTTGGAACTTTGCCCTTACTCTTTTGAAAAACTTGCAATCAACAGGTCTGCGTAAGTCAGGAAGCCAGATGTCTGCTTCATTCACTTTAGATGGGAAGCATATCATCTCAGTAGGAGAGGACTCTCGTGTTTATGTCTGGAATTATGATGGCTTGTGTCTCCAATCATCCAAGCAAGCAAAATCTGTTCGCTCTTGTGAGCATTTCTTGGACGATGGTGTCTCTGTTGCAATACCATGGTCAGCCACGCAACAGGATCATAAATTGTCAGATAGCTTTAGTCCACAGCATTCCTCTAAAAGGCAGGAATTATTAGAGGCTACTTCCTGTCATAGAGATTCAGAACGGTTCTCTCTTGGTAGTTGGTTCTCCATGGACTGCCCATCAAGGGGTAGTGCAACCTGGCCTGAAGAGAAACTACCTTTATGGACTGTACAAGTTACAGATAATGATCATAATCATCTTCACCACCACCATAGCCACACAGATCTAGCAGGAGTATGGGGTATTGTGATTGTGACAGCAAGTTCTAATGGAGTTGTAAGAACTTTCCATAATTTTGGATTGCCTGTCAGACTATAAGAGCAAGAAAATCTTTGCCAAAACCAAATTCAGAATCATGGGACTTCATGACAAACTGCCTGCACTTACCAACTGCTTTTCGACCCGTAGTTTTGTGCGGAATTGCCAACTCTGCTGCCTTATTTCCTCATCCTGTGGGAGGCCTGGTATGTGTCTGAAAGAGCAGCAGCCAGTGATTAGGGTTCTGAACTGTCCTGGCGAGTCTTTGAGAACATAATTGGCCGTTCTTCCATGTTGCCAAGTAATTAGTTTGCTGGCTATAGGTGCCTCTACAAATATCAGTAGGTCAATGTCATTTGGCCATGTCATAGAATTAGTAGCCTGGTTATTTTGTCCATGTCATCAGGCTTAGGAGCAGCCCAGCCCAATTCTTGGAAGCAGGTGCTGCAAATTTTCTTTCATTCATATATCTGTGAGTAGAACCTGATTTATTTGATAATATAAAAGAATACAAAGGTTTCATACACAACTTGCTTGATCTTTTGTTGATGGTGTCTCCTGCTGCATTGGAGGAAGTTTGATGTGTTCTAATACAATCAGGTGATTCTCTTGTTGGGGACTTGGAATCCCGTATGATGTTCCCAAGTTTCTAATTCTTCATAGGGAAAACCATTAGTATTAGAAAACTGAACTTGGAATCAATTTTAGAGTTCCAGCCAGTTTTTTTTTTTTTTTGGTTGAAAGAGTTCCAGCCAGTTTGAACTCTGCTTAGGGAGAAATATAATGAAATGTGAACCCTGTTTTACTAAGAACCGGGAAATTTTGTTAAACCTGTTTTTTCCAAGTAAGACAGAACTAATACCAAAAAAAGGAAGACAACTTTTCTTAAGACTCAGTCTTGGGAAGAGTGCAATTACAAATATGTAAAGTGCAAATACAAGGTTTAGAAATACTATATGTAAGGTTTTACACTGTACATATTTGTATTTGTACTCTTCTCAAACTGAGCAGAAGGGATACAAAATTACAAATACAAATATGTAGAGTGTAAAACCTTGTATTTTTGTATTATTTTATATGTATTTGTACTGTACACAAATACAAGGTTTAGAAATACCATATATAAGATTTTACACTGTACATATTTGTATTTGTACTCTTCTCAAACTGAGCAGAAGGGATACAAAATTACAAATACAAATATGTAGAGTGCAAAACCTTGTATTTTTATATTATTTTATATGTATTTGTACTGTACATTTTTGTGTTTGTACTCTTTTCAAATTGAGCCTAAATGCTCACCAATTGGAACAATTTTGCCTTGTATGAAATCTCCACTACACAAGGGAACTTGTTGGAACTCAGAAGGCAGAACTAAGGTGCATATGGAGAAGTTTCAACTTCTTTGGCTTCTTGGAGTTTTACCAGAATTGATGTAATTTTGCTAACAAGTTAATTCTTCAAAATGTAGAATGCAACTCTAGAAGCTCCTGGTTGGAAATTGGCCCTCTCATCACACTGATCTATGATATTCTTGCAAAATGTTAATTACCCCTTTTAACTTTATAAGGTTTATTAGTAGCTTCCTCAGAGCTTTTTGATTTCTTATGACAATTCCCAACATATTAAACGCAGAAAATTTAGGAGCGACTGTTTATGTTCAAAGAACCAACAATGAAAGGTATAAAGAATTAAGTTCTTTCAAAGCAATAAACAAACCCTTTTTAGTGGTTGCACTGATGATGATGGTCACAAGACACTTGGTAATACTTCATAGCTACAGTTCACTAAAGCTGCTGCTCCTGCTGCTTTGTTTTTAAGCTTTAGACTGAACGATAGGCGGTGGGTTGCACAGCATCTTGTACGTTTTTGAGGGGCAGACATGCATTTGATAATGGCTACAGAGCATAAATTCTATACATTTAAGCCAAGTATTAGTTCAAAGGCATCTCAATAGCTCAAAGCTTTATGGGGAGTTGGGGACTGGGGCGAGGCTCTACACTCCACAGCATCACACAAACACAAGGACACAAAAACGCGCTACGCGACGTTATAGCTGGTGCAATGCTGTATGTAGCCACATGCTGATGCTATGAGACAAGCCAGGATTCTGCACATTTTTTTCTTTTTTTATTTTTCAGCTTCTTTGGAGCTGACTATGGACTGGTCTTTTCACATGTGGAATGTCCTATTGGTTGAGAATTTGAGACTTGTGGCGTTGCACTTTAGTAGCCTTTACTGGGGAATTGGGATTTGTCAATGGGCTCTGAATAGTCCCCTCTTGGCTCTTACAACCCTAAAGAAAGAAAGCTCAGACTCTGTCTGTATATAGGCACCTTTGTAGCCCTAGGTTGAGATTCAACATTATAAAAATTAGTTGACCTTGGAGCATTCTGTGGCCGGGTGGAGTCAACAGCAATCGGAAGCTCCCCTTTTCACCTTTTTTGGTTGTGATCATAGTTTGTGCTTACACACCTCGAGGACAAAGCTGCTGACTTGTGAATGTGTGAATGGACAACCACACTTCTACCAACTAACTACTTTCATCTTTTTTTTCTCTTTACAATTTCTGTCCAATGAACAGTTTCGGTAGCTGAAACTGAGAGAGAAATCAGGGAAGGACTCGAAAATGACAAAATCTTCTCATCCCAAAGACGCTCATGGAATCAAAAGCTCGGGTAATTGATTGCTTCTCTGGGACAAGAGAATAGGGTATCAATTTATTGGGCTGGACCGGGCTGAACTAGGGCTTACCTACGTTCTGGACCCGTGCCAGGACACGAATCCTAGGTGCACGCAGGACCCATAATCGGTCTGCAGACCCACGACTTGCCATATGTCCTAGATTAGGGGGATCAGGACCCATAGTTCAATGTGTCATACTTTGAAGATTAACTATGCTGTCACGAGGCTAGTCATTGGGGCCCGTGCGGCGTTTAAATGTGACAAGTAAGCCTATGCAACAAGCAATAACACAAGAAAAGGCAATAAGATGGCACACAAATTAGTCAAAAAAGCTATTTGTATTGCATTAATGGATGGTAAGCACAAACACACAGTTCAGTGTTGAGGGGATCTCGTGCTTAACCTTTACATGCTCTTGATTCACTCGACTACCTACCTCCCATCAAAGAGTACGTTAAGCTTTTAGGGGAGTGACATAAAAATACATCAAAATGATGAAAAAATATACTAAGTAATTACAATAATGCCATTGGCAATCCCCCCATACAAAATACAAGCATTGCCCTAACTAAGACACACACACTTTGACATTCGAATGGTTGTTGTAGGCACCAAGGATGGCACTTGATGGCGCGGGGAAGAGAACACTTGTGATAGTCTCCCCCATTCAATTCAATCTTCGTCCTCGAAGACTAGCTTCTGCTTGTGGCTCAGATCTACTGTTGATGAAGGAGGGTTCTTCAGCTGGTCCACGAACTTTGTCTCTTCCAAGGCCCGGGCACAAGGTTGGGTGGAAGGCTTTAGGGTGTTCTTGATGGTGGGAAAACCTATGGCTAGTTCCTACGTTGAGTCCTTGCCTGGCTGCTTCAAGGTAGGATTTTGGATGTTCCGCTTTGGTGGTAGGAAAGTCTTTGGCCCAGGCTAGGTCAAAATGATGGTTTGGATTTTTTGGGGATTGGTTCTCATGATGATTTGTCCCCCAAGGGTTGTTCCTCACAAGGCTCCTATGAGGGTTGGCTCGATCAATGTGGTTGTGGAAAGGGTACCTAAGTGGATTTGGTGGTACTCGCTCTCCCTGATGATGGTGAGTGGTTGTGGTTGAAGACGGCCTTGGGTCTTCTAGGAGTCCTTTGTGTTGTCGGTTGCTGCCGATGTTCGTGTTGATGTTGATGTTGATGTTGATGTTGATTCTTCTGCCGGCGGTGGTGCTAGAATAGTGACGACTTCCCAACCCATTCCGGTGTTGATGTGAGATGATTGAGAGGGGGTCTTCCTTGTTGGCACGACACTGGTTTTGTGGGTGTCTGCTTCTTGATAGTATTGTAGGGCCGAAAGTTGCTTCCACCTGAGAAACTCCATTCCCAAGACAACCTGAAAATCATCCAAAAGTAATACAGATAGATTGATGGGTCCTTTCCATGGCCCAACTTGGAGCTCTACTCCATGAGCCATGCCTTCTACTGCTTTGGCCCTCGAGTGACAGCCTTGATCCACCCTGTCTAATTGGTGGTGGTCAAGTCGAGTCACTTTGGCTCTGCAAGCGATATGAAGTTGTGGGTGGCCCCAATGTCTACCAAGGCTTGGGTCGACCTCCTGTCGAGGATGATGTCTACATATTTCAGCCCCTTATGGGCTTTGGTGGGCCGCTTGGATGTGACCTCTGTCTTAACCATGGCATTGATGAGTTGAAGGGTGCCTACTCTTGGCGCCGTTGTGGGTTTCTCCTCATCACTCTCTTCACTGTCACTGAGTTTGGCAATGAGGGCATTGATTTTCTTTCGAGTTGGACAGTCACTCATCCAATGCTTTCCATTGCAAATATAACAAGGTGCAGGAGGAGTAGTGGGTCTGCTAGTGTACTGGTGGCCCTAATAGCTTTGGGCTCCTTGTGGCTTCTTCCCTTGTTGATAGTTGTTGGGCTTGTCAGTGGACACTGGTTTCTCCTGTGTAGAGGTTGATTTTTTATCTACCCCACTCAAACTCATGATACGTGGGTTGGGTGGCTTTTGCTCTTCTTACTTTGACTTCCTTAAATCAACTAGTTGCTCGGCCACTTCCATGGCAATTGCTAAGTCCTTCACCCCATGCCGTTGTAGTTTGAGCTCCGCCCATGGTTTGAGACCATCCATGAAGTTGAACAAGAGGTCATTGTCAGACATGTCAGAGATCTCAAGGGTCAGGGCTAAGAACTCTTGGACATAGTCATGCAATGAGTCTTGGTGCTTCAAGTTCTTCAACTTCCTTCATGCCAAGTACTCAACATTTTTGGGGTAGAACTATCACTTGATTTCTCTCTTGGAATCGGCCTAGGTGTTGAGGGTCTGAGTGCCACGTTCAATGTCCTAGCAACATCTACTCCACCATAGCATTGCTATATCATTTAAATACATGGCGGTGATGCATACCTGAGTTTGGTCATCATGGATGCCAGTCGCGGAGAAGTACTGATCAAGTTGCCAGAAGAAGTTTTCAAGCTCCCGAGCATCACGAGCACCTAAGTATGGAGTTGGTTGGCGCATCTTGATGTGAGTGGATGGAGCGGATGAGGCACTAGTGGAATTGGCCATGGCTCTTTTCATGATTGTTAGATCAGCCCTCATCTCATCCAATTGAGCTTGGAAACTGTCCATCATGCCTTGAAGGCTGCTTCGGGAGGAGCTGGCTTGTGACTGTTGCAAGGTGTGTGGATGTCTCGAAGGGCTCCTTTGAAGTGGCTTTCCAGCACCACCACAACATTCTCTACAGTCTCCATGTTGAGGTGGAGTTCATTGACCCGATCTCAAGTCTCTCCTACTGTCTCCTCGCAACATAGGATGTGAATGTCCATGCTAGCAAGTTGGTCAA